CCTTCCTTCCTTCCTTCCTTCCTTCCTTCCTTCCTTCCTTCCTTTCTTTCTTTCTTTCTCTGTGTGGAAGGTTCATCCCCCTCTAAAGATAGTATTCCCTATCAGTGGGCACAATGGTTTTGAGCCTTTTAATGTGCTATATTATGAATAATGCATTGAGGGGAAAATCTTGGAGCTGGTTGCCTAATAGTATCACTGGAGAAAATACCTTTTTATAAATACAAACAGATATCATTGTAGTTTCCAGTGTCTGCACTGAGCTGCCCTGGCATTTTGCTTTCTTTGGATAGAAAGACCATCCTTTATTGTTCTTGCTTGGATTTAGCAGCACACAGTATGCTGCAGGTGTGGATTTCCTTTCTCTTTTGCCTTTTTCTTTTTTTAAAGAGGAGAAAGAAGGGAGGGATCAGTATTTTATTGTCCTTGCTAATCTCGTTTCTTTGCGGAGCAGTTACCTGGTTGACGTGTTAGCTAATAGTGTGGAGGTGATTGCAGAGAAGTGTAATTAAAACAGGCGATGTTGCAGACCTACACATGCAAACCCAGAGGAATAATGGAAATTGCATAGGCTTTATAGGGAGTTCGCTTCTGTGGGAGGAAAGTTTTCCCATTTGTTGGAAGACGGGTAAGGAAGCAGACAGGGTAATCTCCAGCCATCCAGTTTTTGGAAGGCAGAGAAGAAGAGTGTTGCAATCATAAGAGATTCTGCAAAACTTTGCAGATGGTTCCTTTTAGGGCTCCACCTGATGAAGCCCCATCTTTGTGTGAAAAACAGGGGAGACGTGCTGAAATCTCTTACTAGTCTCAATGCAACTTTGCTCAATGAAAAGCAAAGCCCTGATATAATGAATGTGGTTTCCCTTGGCTTAAGCCTGTGCTGATTAAAGTCACACGTCCTCAGGCCTCTACTATTATCGGTTTGCTTTAACATTTGTGAGACAGACAAGCACAGTTTGTACCTAGTCTCAAATCCCACATACTCTGGGTTTAATTCTGTGTCACAGCAAAGGATTTAGCCTTTGGTTAAAATGGAAGCAGGTATGCAAAATGTGGAAAAGCATATCAGGTGGGGGAGGCGGGCAGGCAGCAGAAATGGGAGCCCTTCCTGCCTCCTCTTCCCTTATCTCACCATCCCTGGAATTAAGTAAAATCTGATGAATGGATTCAAAAGTTTGGTGTGAGATAGCAGGCAGTCTTCTCCCCTCACTTAAGTTATAGAACATCTCCTGTACTAACTGCCTACCTTGTGAGTGGCTCAAGAAATTTGTAAGAAGCTTCAAAATCTTCTGTATGGAATTCAGATCCATTTAGAGAGGATTTGGATAATTCCCCTGAGTGAACAAAGAGATTGTTTACAAACAGCTGTCATTCTAGAGCTCCATCTTTTTTCATTCATCCCCCTTTCCATCTGTCTCAAGAGTCAATTCTTTACATAAAGGAAAAAGGAGTCTTGGAATGTTGCATTGCTGAAAGCATATGCCACGCCTCCTTTTTTTCATTTCCTTCAGAGGAGGGAAATTCTTTAGAAAACATAATTTCAATTTTTTTAAAAAAGCAGCTTTCAAACAGGGCAGCAGTTCAATAATAGGATTCTGATTTGTGTGTGTGTGTGTATGTTTTAATAACAAAACTGCTATATTTAAAGGTATCATTTTGCTGGTAGCAAGAAGCAGAATCATGAGATCTCAGAACATTTTTCTTTATGTCACCAGAGATGAAATTAGTCATAATATTTAATTCAGGCCAACAGGGATTTTTTTTAAAAAAAATAGGGGGAATTAAAAGTATATGCTCTGTGAATCCACACTGCTAATGCTTTAAGCAGTTTTCTATAGATATGTAATGATCCACCCCTGTCCCTCTCTATGGGAATTTTCTGAATCCAGTTCTTGAAAATGCTTTAAAATATTTTCAGTGGTTGCTGTTATTGGGTGAAACCTACTTGTTGACAGCTTTCCAGGATGACAGAGCCCCCTTGCCCTTGAAGTCCCCAGAAGCTACTTACATGGCCTGCCAGTTGTGTTTCTTTTCCCCTTCCACCTTTCTAATTTTGTTTCCAAGAGTCCCTTAAACACTAATTATTTCTTGATCAATAATAGATTAGCTGCTGTTCTGTGAGCAATGTGCAGTTACCTCTCATGACTTTTTTTTTTTTAAAAAAACCCTTTTCCTCAGTTGTTTAAATTAAATTTTGAAATTCAGTTTAGCAAACCGTTGCTTTCCCAATCGGTTATACTATGTGGATAATAATTCCAGACCAGACATAATGTTAACATTTTATTCTGCATTGCTCAGGTCCCGCCTTGAGTTCTGTGCTCAGAGAAGGGCAAGGAGTATGATCAGGGGACTAGAAACTAAGTTCTGTGAAGAAAGATTGAAGGAGTTAGAAATGTTTAGCCTTGAGAAGGGAAGACTGAGTAGGATACAATACCACTCTTCAAGGACTTAAGGGATAGGATCACACAGGTCAGAATCCTTTCTTTATCATCCCAGAAGGCCAGGCATGGAATTTAAGCTGTAAGAAGGCAGTTTGCAGTTGAGGTTCCTAACAGTAAGAGCAGTTTGATCATGGAATTAACTGCTCAGAGCAGTAGAGAGCTTCCTTCACCAGATGTCTTCAGTGCTTTAGTGTGGTTTCCAGCATTGAGCAGGGAGTTGGGCTCAGTGGCCTAAATGGCCACTATACTCTATGATTCTAGGATATCCAAACCCCTTGGTAGCTGTAAAGAGTAAGAAAGATGACCTTGACAGAGATATGCAGAAGCTGTTGTCTAGGCAAAAGGGACTGAAACATTTTTAAAGCCCAGAACGCCTAGGTAACAATTAAAAGTGACTCTGGCAGATGCCTCCCTAATTCACTGAACTATAAGGATGAGGAAGAGGTTACAACAAAATCAGACCTGTAAGATTTTATTATGGCAGTCTCAATAAAAATAGTTCTTGCCTTTCTGTGGAGTTGATTTCATGGTCTGGTCTACCTAGTGAGGTTGATAATAGGAGTGATTTTCCTCAGCATTGTTCAGGCTGATGGTCACCATATTGCATCTCTTCATAAGTATGATGGGAATATGATGGGAGTGGTCATCTAAACCAAACTGAATGCATCAGCTTGAGAAAGCAAGTGGACTTAGCTTTCTATAAATAAGGTATAGGAGGAGGAGGAGAGTCGTGTTAATCTGCAGTGGCAAAAAATCAGGAGGAGTTTCGTAGCACATTTTCCAACTAACAAATTTTATTAAAAGGCATAAGCTTTCATGAGCTTCAGTTCACTTCATCAGATGCCCCATGTTCAGATATCCATATTCAGAATCATTTATCACATGAAAATATAGCAGATTAACATTGCTTACCAAATGGCATGAAGATACCTTACATCACTATGACAAATAGGGAGTCTCTATAACTGCTATGGAAATTCTCCACTTAGTCATTTTCAGATGACAAGTGGTACTGCTACGTGATAAAACTGCATATGCAGAATGAGTAAGGGCAAACATTTTGCCAGGGGAATCAGACAAACATTGGTAATATTGCTTCCAGATCTATGATAAAGATAGATGTATCAGCTGTTACTAGCAGAGAGATCAGAAGGCAAGTCAGAAGAAAAATTACATGGAAAATGGAAGTTCCCACAGAAGTCCTGGTACCTCAGTTCTCTTTACTGCTCTGAATATGCTTTTATAACTGATATGGACTAGTCTTCTGCCACTTGGCAGGACTTTAGGAAGCTTGTAAATGAAGAGTTATCTTCATCTCCATCATAAATTCAGTGATAAGGAAAGCACTATAACTACTAATGAATATTGTAGTCTTCTACACTCTGTGGATGCCTTCCTGATGTTTGGGTTCTTTCCTGATTCCATGATTTCTTTAAAAAAAGTGTTTGCTGGTTGGGAATTTTGGAAGGCACTAGCTTAGAGAAAGCTGGAATAGTTCTTGTCTCATGGGATGGTTAAAATGAAGATATACAGTATAATGCTGATGGTGAAGATGGGATTGTGTATGTTGCATTTAAGTTCATGTTATTAACACTGGAAATGTCTTTGAAACAGAAGCAGTCTTACAGACTTGCAGGTACCATGAAGGAAGGAGACAAATACACTTCTACCCTTTTTCTCAAGGACACCAACTTCTGAAGGCTTTTTCCCATTTATTTATTTGATACTGTACATTCCTTACTTCAGATTAAATGAAATTGCAGTATTGATTTCACTTTTCTTTGATACTATGTAGGCT